GAACTGAACTAGAACTAGAACTGAACTAGAACTGAACTAGAACTGAACTAGAACTGAACTAGAACTAGAACTGAACTAGAACTGAACTAGAACTGAACTAGAACTGAACTAGAACTGAACTAGAACTGAACTAGAACTGAACTAGAACTGAACTAGAACTGAACTAGAACTGAACTAGAACTGAACTAGAACTGAACTAGAACTGAACTAGAACTGAACTAGAACTGAACTAGAACTGAACTAGAACTGAACTAGAACTGAACTAGAACTAGAAATTAATTTACGCACCTCTGAATTTGGTACACATGTTCCTTGGGTTTTATCAAAAATAAATCCTTTAGGTTCACACTCCTCATAAGTGGCTATCGTTTGGCAAACACAAAAGCTTTGGTCATTCACAGTCGACTCTATAACATAATTATTCTCCTTCCTAGTACACAATTCAGGTGTACATGGCTCCATACACATTAGATATTTTCCGAATTTCGTGCCTTCAGGACAAGATACATAGCCCATCGTACAATCACAATAACCATCGGTTGTATTCGAGGCTGCTATCCGTTGGTTGGGAAAATTACATTTTGTAAAATCACAAACATCCTAAATGGAATTGTGTGGTAATTGTTTCAATTGCTTTCAGCTTGGAAAGGATTTTTAGTTTGAACTTACTTCTGTTGTTGTTTTTAAGCATGCTTTTATGCTGTCATCATAAATGCCTTCCAAACATTCCTTAAATACAGGTTTATCACCTGGTTTTGTACACAAACAGAAACCATTTGAATTATCTTTAGCTGGTTTGGGTCCCAGATCAGCGCCACATACATCAGTACCGCATAATTTCTGGTAATATTAAAATGAAATCAAAAGATCTTTAACAGAAAATGATAGACCATAGATAAGACCCTAGTCCAAACTATATACAATACTATAACTAACATAAATAGATCGGACTATAGTATAGTATAGACAATAGACTCCAGACCAAAGATAGTTCTAATGTCCATAACATAGACAAGACAATAGTCCAGACAAGTCTACAGTGCAAACTATAGACAAGTCTATAGTGCAAACTATACACAAGTCTATAACTCAGACTATGGACGCGTCTATACTGCAGACTATATACAAGTAGTTTAGACTATAGGCAAGTCTATGGTGCAGACTATATACAAGACTATAGTGCAGACTAGAGACAAGTCTATAGTGCAGACTATAGGCAAGTCTATAGTGCAGATTTTAGACAAGTCTATAGTGCAGACTATTGGCAAGACTATTGGCAAGTCTATACTACATACAAGACTATAGTGCAGACTAGAGACAAGTCTATAGTGCAGACTATAGGCAAGTCTATAGTGCAGATTTTAGACAAGTCTATAGTGCAGACTATTGGCAAGTCTATAGTGCAGACTACAGACAAGTCTATAGTGCAGACTATTGGCAAGTCTATAATGCAGACTAGAGACAAGTGTGTAGTGCAGACTATAGACAAGTCTATAGTACAGACTATAAACAAGTCTATGGTCTAGACTATAGGCCAGACTACAGACAAGACTATAGTGCAGAGAAATATATTTTAACAAATTATAGACAAATCTATAGAACAGACTACAGACAAGTTTGTAGTCGCAACTATAGAAACATATTTAGTCCAGACTGTAAAAACATGTATAGTCTAGAGTCTAGGCTATACACAAGACTATAGTCCATTAAGTTGCAATTCAGTAAACATACCCCACTATTTGCCACACACATTTGTTTGGTTTCATCGAATAAATAACTTGTAGGATTACATTTCTCATAACTTGCGGTCTGCGTTCCAACTTGCGTCGTATGGCACATACAGAAACTATGATCATTAACGGAAGATGGTATGAGATACTGATCTGGTTTGCCACTACATAATAGATCGATACATGGCGGCTTGCAAAGACCGAATTTACCAAATTTTTCACCATCAGGACAAGGTGCATAGCTGCCAGTAGTACAGTCGCAAAAACCATCGGTGGTATTTGAGGCTGGTATACGTTGTCCTGGGGTTTTACATTCTGTTAAATCACAAATTGGTGCCTCGCATTTTTCGGTAATTACATTAAATTCACCATTCTGTGGACAATTATAATAGGTGGCAATACCCTTAACACATTCACAATAGCCATCGGTTGTGTTCAAAGCTGGTATTTTGGTTTTATCTGGTAAATCGCGACACTGATAAGAATTACAATTAATCTGCAATATATATTTTTTATTAATAAAGAAAATGTTATTGAATTTAATGACCTTTTAAAATCTCAATTACCTCTGCCAATTGACATATAGTTAGATTAGGATTTAATATAGTACCATTGTTACAGGGACTAAATGTGGCCATTTGTTGCCTGCAAACACATACACCATTACTCGTTTTAGGATCGATGGGATTAAATACTTTTAAATTATTTTTGGGATCCACACATACGGATTGTAAACATTTGGGCTTCGAGGGTAATGAAAATTAAAATATATAAAGCATATTTCATTAAATGCATTTAATTTACCGAAATTTCATATTCCGAACATTTTTTGATATATGGATTGAATGTACTGTCATTGGGACAATTGACAATAATTGGTTTTTCATCAATACACATACAGAAACTCTTGGTATCATTGCGATTTTCCGCCACCTCATAGTCTTTGTTATTCAAACAGAAACTGGGATCACAGGGAGCATTCTATATGGACGATAAATTGTCTGGGTTATTCTTATTAAATTAATAAGACAATAATAGTTTTATCATACCGAATAACATATGCCTAAATCTGGATTAAAGGGAGAATCCTTGGGACATTCGATTTTGGTAGCTATACCATTGATGCATACACAAAATTCATAATCGTTACCTACATCTAATGTCGTATAAGTTCCATCCTCCATGCAGACTGGACAGTCGGGCTATTAAAATAAGGGATTTTAGTTTAGATAAAATGTAGTTTTTTCTAGGTTACACATTACTGTACACAAGTCTGTAGGCCAGATTATAGATTATAGTCCAGACTAAAGACAAAACTATAGTTCAGACTATAGATAATATTATAGTTCAGACTATAGACAAGACTATAGTCCAGACTATTGACAAGACTATAGACAATATTATATAGACAATATTATATATACATATATACAAAACTGTAGTCCAGCTTATATATGAGACTTATCTACATAATCCACACTATAGACCAGAGTATAGATAAGACTACTTATAGTCCAGACTATAGACAAAACTATAGTCTTGACTATAAACAAGACTATAGTACAGACTATAGGAAAGGCTATAGTCCATAGACAAGACTATAGTCCAGACTATAGACAAGACTATAGTCCAGACTATAGACAATACTATAGTCTAGACTATATATAAAACTATAGACAAGATCTGGACTGTAGACCTGACAGCAAGAAAGAGTATACTCGAAACTATAGGCAAGACTATAGTCAAGAATGTAGACAAGACCATAATCCGGACTATAGACTAGACTATAGTTATATAGTTTGGATTTTAAACTATATACTTACATCTGATATTTTTATGCATGCTCCCATTGCTATGTCGAATCCCATCCTTGGAGGACATGATTTAGGTATAGGCACTCTATCAGCATTACACCAATAAAATTTTGTACGATCATATGGATCGGGGAACAAACTATAAGATGCTAAATCATAGCATGGGTTAGAGAAGCATATCTTTGATTCATCACCAACTTCATAATCTACTGCCACAGCTTATTCAATGAATTCTCCTTGATCTTGAAATCTTCAATTGTACTTATATTCATAATGGATGAAGACTGAAAATTTATTTCTTTGCCTTTAGCCGACTTAATATCATTAGCAGCATCTTGAGATGCTGCTAAAATTGCTAAACACAAAAAATAGTATAAGAGGACAAGCCTCATTGTTGTTATTAGAAACTAAACTGCTTACGATTTTGGGTTGGTTTTTATATAAAAATGCTGGAAACTTGTCAATCTAACATTGTTTGTTTAATAATTGTTTTTGAGCTTTAGTTAAATAATAAGTTTATTTATAAAATATTAAGCTATTAAGAAAAAAAAACTAAAATTTTGGGTAAATAGTATTAGAAACGCTTTATTTACTTAAATGTGTTAAAACTAATAATTAAACAACTGGATCATAAATGGGATACTATTTATGTTTTGAGAAACAAAAAAAAAAAATATACTTATCTCTATATAAAAAATTATTTTCTGTATTCTATATAAAGAATGAGGACAATTTTCTTATGAAATCTGCGAATTTTCAGAACAAAACTTTCTACAGCAGTTTTGTAAAGAAAACTGTCTGTAGGAGACACTTTCCTAAAGAAAACTGTCCACAGCAGACACTTAAAAAATTCTCTATCGCAGACATGTTTCTAAAGAAAACTGTCTACAGCACACATTTTTCCAAAGAAAACTGTCTACAGCCGACATTTTTCTAAAAAAAAAAACTATCTACAGCCGACACTTTTCTAAAGAAAACTGTCTACAGCCGACACTTTTCAAAAGATAACTATCTACAGCAGAAATTTTTCTAAAGAAATCTGTCTACAGCATACACTTTCCTAGAGAAAACTGTCTTCAACAGACACTTTCCTAGAGTAAACTGTCTACAGCATACACTTTTCTAAAGAACACTGTCTACAGTAGACAATTTTCGAAAGAAGACAGCGATAGACAGCGCTGTCACGTTTAAATTTAAAAACGTTGTTTTTTGCATGCAATTTCCTTTATTAAGTTTTATTTTTGGGCAAAATATTTTATATATAGTTTTTTTTTTTTCAAATCCCCGACTTTATTTAATCTCTAAGATTGTGGCCAATCACAGACTTGTAGGCGTTCATTAAATACCAAACCAGCTGGGCAAGGCATTTTGATTTCACACTGACATTGGCAGACAATGAAACCGCTACTGGATTTATCTGCGAATATGGCACCATCTCTTTGACCCTGACATTTTCCAGAATTGGCACAACTTATACCCGAGGGTCCGGTAATTGGTGGCTGTGGTTGTGGATTATCACTGCCGCCTTCACCGCCTGATGGTGGACTGGGTGTTGGTGGACATGGAGTGGGTTTGTATGGAGTTGAAGTGGTGGTGGAACAGGGTGTTGGTGCTGTTGGCGGAGATGCAGTAGGTGGCGATGCTGTGGGTGGCGATGGAGTTGGCGGTTCTTCGGGACAAGGTGTTGGTGCTGTTGGTGGCGATGCTGAAGGAGGATATGGAGTTGGTGGTTCTTCAGAACAAGGTGTTGGTGCTGTAGGGGGTGATGGTGTAGGTGGGGAAGGAGTAGGAGGAGATGGAGTTGGTGGTTCTTCGGAACAAGGTGTTGGTGCTGTAGGTGGCGATGCAGTAGGTGGCGATGGAGTTGGCGGTTCTTCAGGACAAGGTGTTGGCGCTGTAGGTGGTGATGGTGTAGGTGGGGACGGAGTAGGAGGAGATGGAGTTGGTGGTTCTTCGGAACAAGGTGTTGGTGCTGTAGGAAGAGATGGTGTTGGCTTAGGCGTTGGTGCTGTGAGACAAGGAGTAGAGGGTTTGCCCTGTGGACGACCTGGTGGTCTTATTGGACCAACACCAGTACCAGGAGAACCACCGCATTTAGCATGACAGGCCTCACAATCCACTTTATTGGCATTATCATAACCCACTAACTGCAGAGCATAACTGAAATCACAGCCAGCACGAAATTTAAAATCACAAATCGATTCATAACGATTGAAATGTAAACCAAATGGACAATATCTTATGGCCACCGTTTCACCATCATGACACTGTATAAAACGTGAACAATCCGCCGGGTGAGCTAAACGTGCGCCATCCACTTGATCTTCACAAATATCCAAAGTCCAGGCGTTAAGAAGATTTCCCGCAAGGAGCATAATATAAAATGGTACTAAAATTTTTTAATAATGAAAGCTACTCTATATATTCTTCCTTGGACCCTACCTTTAAACATAATTTCTGGTTCCCACTAGACTAATGTTTAAATTTTATTATAGATTGATATCGCACAGTTATCGAACTAAAGTTTCAGAGGAATATTTGCTCTTTTTATACTAAAACTACCGGAATATTTAAATAACATTAATGTTTATATTTTTTTTAGTTAATAATCATGTTTTACAACTATTTTTACAATAGTTTTTGTATAATTAGTTTTAAAATGTTGTATGCAAATTGTAAAAAGTCAAGAGCACGAAACCTGATAACTTTTTCTATGAACGACTGCAGAATAGAAAAGAATCAGCTGTACATAAGTAATTTTCTTTAGAATAGACTCTGTTGTAGTCTGTTTTCTATAGAAGTCAGTCTAATGTAGGCGGGTTTTAGGAAGGGCTCTGCTGTAGACAGTTTTCTTTAGAAAAGTGTCTGCTATAGGGCAGTTTTCTTTAAATTACGTGCTGGTTGTGATTTCAGTTATGCTCTGCAGTTAGTGGGTTATGATAATGCCAATAAAGTGGATTGTGAGGCCTGTCAAGCTAAATGCGGTAGTACTGGTGTTGGTCCCATAAGACCACCAGGTCGTCCACAGGGCAAAACCTCCATTCCTTGTGTTACAGCACCTACGCCTAAGCCAACACCTAAGCCTTCGACTCCTTGTTCTGAAGAACCACCTACTCCATATCCTCCTACTGCGTCCCCACCTACATCATTACCCCCTACAGCACCAACACCTTGTCCCGAAGAACCGCCAACTCCATTGCCACCTACAGCATCTCCGCCTACAGCCCCAACGCCTTGTTCTGATGAACCACCAACTCCAGCTCCTCCTACTCCGTCCCCACCTACACCATCACCCCCTACAGCACCAACACCTTGTCCACAGGAAGCGCCAACTCTATCGCCACCTACAGCATCAACACCCTGTTCCACCACCACCTCAACGCCACACAAACCCACTCCATGTCCTACCAAACCAACACCCTGTCCATCATCGGCAGGTGAAGGCGGCAGTGATAATCCACAACTACAGCCACCAATTACCGGTCCTTCGGGTATAAGTTGTGCCAATTCTGGAAATTACAGGGTCAAAGCGATGGTGCCATATTCGCAGATAAATCCAACAGCGGTTTCATTGTCTGCCAATGTCAGTGTGAAATCAAAATGCCTTGCCCAGCTGGTTTGGTATTTAATGAACGCCTACAAGTCTGTGATTGGCCACAATCTTAGAGATTAATTAAAGTCGGGTATTTGAAAAAAAAACTATATATATAAAATATTATGCCCCAAAAATAAAACTTAATAAAGGAAATTTCTAGCAAAACAAAGTTTTTAAATTTATTTCAGATTTTCAGACTTTTTTCTAAAGAAAATTTTCTTTGGCAGACAATATTCTAAAGAAAACAGTAGACAGAGAATTTACTAAGGAAAACTTTCGCAGCAGGATGTTTTCTAAAGAAAACTATGAACTAAACTGTTTAGATCTGACTTTTATCGTTTGTTGTATTGTTGGATAAGGGTTTGCTGTAGACAATTTTCTTTAGAATAGAGTCTGCTGTAGACTGCTGTAGAATAGAGTCAGGTGTAGACAATTTTCTTAAAAATAGAGTCAGCTGTAGAATGTTTTCTTTAGAAAAGTGGCTGCTGTAGACAGTTTTCTTTAGAATGGAGTCTGCTATAGACAGTTTTCTTTAGAATACTGTCTGTTTTTAGAATATAGTATGATGTAGGCAGTTTTCTTTAGAATGCTGTCTGCTGCAGACAGTTTTCTTAAAAGTAGAGTCTGGTGTAGACGGGTTTCTTTAGAAAAGTGGCTGCTGTAGACAGTTTTCTTTAGAAAGGTCTCTGCTGTACACAGTTTTCCTTAGAATATTGTCTGCTGTAGACAGTTTTTTAGAATAGAGTATGATGTAGGCAGTTTTGCTATAGACAGTTTTCTTTAGTATAGAGTCTGCAGTAGACAGTTTTCTTTAGGATATAGTCTGTCGTAGACAGTTTTCACTAGAATAGAGCCTGCTGTAGACAGTTTTCTTTAGAATATAGTCTGCCGTAGATAGTTTTCTTAAAATAGAGTATGACAGTTTTCTTTCGAACAGAGTCAGCTGTAGACAGTTTTCTTTAGAAGAGTGTCTGCTATAGACAGTTTTCTATAGAAACTGTCTGCTGTGGACAGTTTCCTTTATAATATAGTCTGCTGTGGACAGTTTCCTTTATAATATAGTCTGCAGTAAACGGTTTTCTTTACAATAAAGTCTGCTGTAGGCAGTTTTCTTTAGAATTTTGTCTGCTGCAGACAGCTTTCTTTAAAAAGGAGTCAGCTGTAGACAGTTTTCTTAGAATAGAGTCTGCTGTAGAAAGTTTTCTTTAGAATACTGTCTGCTGTAAACAGTTTTCTTTAGAAAGGAGTCTGCTATAGACAGTTTTCTTTAGAATATAGTCCTCTGTAGACAGTTTTCTTTAGAAAGGAGTCCGCTATAGACAGTTTTCTTTAGAATATAGTCCGCTGTAGACAGTTTTCTTAAGAATAGGGTATACTGTATACAGTTTTCTTTAGAAAAGAGTCTGCTATAGACAGTTTTCTTTAGAATATAGTCTGCTGTAGACAGTTTTCTTAGAATAGAGTATGCTGTAGATAGTTTTCTTTGAAATATAGTCTGGTGTAAACGGGTTTCTTTACAATAAAGTCTGCTGTAGGCAGTTTTCTTTAGAATGGTGTCTGCTGCAGACAGCTTTCTTTAAAAAGGAGTCAGCTGTAGACAGTTTTCTTAGAATAGAGTCTGCTGTAGACAGTTTTCTTTAGAATACTGTCTGCTGTAGACAGTTTTCTTTAGAAAGGAGTCTGCTATAGACAGTTTTCTTTAGAATATAGTCCTCTGTAGACAGTTTTCTTAAGAATAGGGTATACTGTAGACAGTTTTCTTTAGAATATAGTCCGCTGTAGACAGTTTTCTTAAGAATAGGGTATACTGTATACAGTTTTCTTTAGAAAGGAGTCTGCTATAGACAGTTTTCTTAGAATAGAGTATGCTGTTGACAGTTTTCTTTCGAACAGAGTATGCTGTAGACAGTTTTCTTTAGAATAGAGTCTGCTGTAGACAGTTTTCTTTCGAACAGAGTCTGCTGTAGACAGTTTTCTTTAGAATATAGTCTGTTGTATAAAGTTTTCATTAGAAAGGAGTCTGCTATAGACTAACATATTTAGTGAGAGAGAATTATTTCTTATGAAATAAAGAGTGAAAATTTCTTTACCTTAAATAAATTAATTTATTTAGATGTTGTTAAGCAGAACTACATTTAACAAGCATCTGTTTTTTCTATATATTTATTTTTGTTATCTTTTGTTAATGTAAAAATAAATTGTTAAATAATTGTTGTTACAACTATTTTTTGTTAAAGAAATTGTTTTACAAGTTTTTAGTTTGTATGGTATGTAATAGACTTTTTGTCTCTATCTCTCTCTCTCTCTCTCTCTCTCTCTAGCACTCCCTCAATAGAGTTTTCCTTAATAGATAAGTTGTTGTCTTTTTGGACTTGACAACAGCACTACTTAAAATTAAACAATGAGTTTTTTTTCCTGATAATGATAAGAAAAACTCAATGAAAATTTATTTAAACTAGGAGGGCAGCCTAATCGAAACTTAGTGGGCCATTTATTAGCCATTATCATATTTCATTGATTTTTACTAATTACGGCATAATATTTTAATCTTTAAGTGCTTTTTTTTATCATTTTATTAGTATTATTTGTTTTGTATTGAAAAAGTTTAAGTTTTAATAGGTTTTATTGTTAAGGCATTTAATTGAATTCTATTGGTATTTATGTCTATTGATCATAATTAATCAAGCAAAATATTATTTATTTAAGATACATACATATGTATGTGAAACGTCATTACGTTTAGAGTAATTAATTAGTAAAATATAGTAGGTCAAACGGTTTTCAAGAAAATATACTTCAAAGAGAAAAATTGTTAAGAAGGGACGTCTACCTAAGCGAAAGATATAGTTAGCTGTTACTATTTTATCATCCTATTTTAGTACATACCTTGCAGGGATGATGTTCTTTAGAAAAATGTATGCTGTAGACAGTTTACTTTAGAAAAGTTTTTGCTGTAGACAGTTTTTTAAGGAGGGAGTCAGCTGTAGACAGTTTTCTTCAGAAAAACGTCTGCTGTATCAGTTTTTTTTAGAAAAGTGTCTTCTGTATACAGTTTTCTTTAGAAAAATTTCTGCTGTAGATAGTTCTCTATAGAAAAGTATCTGCTGTAGATAGTTCTTTATAGTATCTGCTGTAGACAGTTTTCTTTAGAAAAGTTTCCGCTGTGAACAGTTTTCTTTACAAAAGTTTCCGCTGTGAACAGTTTTCTTTAGAAAAGTGTCTGCTGTAGACAGTGTTCTTTAGAAAGGTGTCTACTGTAGACAGTTTTCTTTAGAAAAGTGTCTGCTGTAAACAGTTTTCTTTGGAAAATAGTCTGTTCTAAAGACAGTTTTCTTTAGAAAAGTGTCTGCTGTAGACAGTTTTCTTTAGACAAATGTCTGTTGTGGTAGTTTTATTTAGAACAGTTTTTGCCGCAGACAGTTTGCTTTAGAGAAGTGTCTGCTGTACAGTTTTCTTTAGAAAATTGTCTGTTGTAGACAGGTTTCGTTAGACAAGTGTCTGCTGTAGACAGTTTGCTTTAGAGAAGTGTCTGTTGTAGGCAGTTTTCTTTAGAAAAGTGTTTGCTGTAGACAGTTTTCTTCAGAAAAGTTTCCGCTGTGAACAGTTTTCTTTAGAAAAGTGTCTGCTGTAGACAGTGTTCTTTAGAAAGGTGTCTACTGTAGACAGTTTTCTTTAGAAAAGTGTCTGCTGTAGACAGTTTTCTTTAGATAAGTGTCTGCTGCAGACAGTTTTCTTTAGAAAAGTTTCTGCTGTAGAAAGTTCTCTATAGAAAAGTATCTGCTGCAGACAGTTTTCTTTAGAAAAGTGTCTGATGTAAACAGTTTTCTTTAGAAAAGTGTCTGCTGTAGACAGTTTTCTTTAGACAAATGTCTGTTGTGGCAGTTTTATTTAGAAGAGTTTTTGCCGCAGACAGTTCTATTTTATCATCCTATTTTAATACATACCTTGCAGGGATGATGTTCTTTAGAAAAATGTATGCTGTAGACAGTTTTCTTTAGAAAAGTTTTTGCTGTAGACAGTTTTTTAATGAGAGAGTCAGCTGTAGACAGTTTTCTTCAGAAAAACGTCTGCTGTATCAGTTTTTTTTAGAAAAGTGTCTTCTGTATACAGTTTTCTTTAGAAAAGTTTCTGCTGTAGATAGTTCTCTATAGAAAAGTATATGCTGTAGACAGTTTTCTTTAGAAAAGTGTCTGATGTAGACAGTGTTCTTTAGAAAGGTGTCTACTGTAGACAGTTTTCTTTAGAAAAGTGTCTGATGTAGACAGTTTTCTTTAGAGAAGTGTCTGCTGCAGACAGTTTTCTTTAGAAAAGTTTCTGCTATAGATAGTTCTCTATAGAAAAGTATCTGCTGCAGACAGTTTTCTTTAGAAAAGTGTCTGATGTAAACAGTTTTCTTTAGAAAAGTGTCTGCTATAGACAGTTTTCTTTACAAAAGTGTCTGCTGTAAACAGTTTTCTTTGGAAAGGTATCTGCTGTAGACAGTTTTCTTTAGAAAAGTGTCTGCTGTAGACAGTTTTCTTTAGACAAATGTCTGTTGTGGCAGTTTTATTTAGAACAGTTTTTGCCGCAGACAGTTTGCTTTAAAGAAGTGTCTGCTGTACAGTTTTCTTTAGAAAATTGTCTGTTGTGGCAGTTTTATTTAGAACAGTTTTTGCCGCAGACAGTTTGCTTTAGACAAGTGTCTGCTGTAGACAGTTTGCTTTAGAGAAGTGTCTGTTGTAGGCAGTTTTCTTTAGAAAAGTGTTTGCTGTAGACAGTTTTCTTCAGAAAAGTTTCCGCTGTGAACAGTTTTCTTTAGAAAGGTGTCTGCTGCAGACAGTTTTCTTTAAAAAAGTGACTGCTGTAGGCAGTTTTCTTTAGAGAAGTGTCTGCTGCAGACAGTTTTCTTTAGAAAGTGTCCGATGTAAACAGTTTTATTTAGAAACGTGTCTGCTGTAGACAGTTTTCTTTAGAAAAGTGTCTGCTGTGGCAGATAGTTTTCTTTAGAAAAGTGTCTGTTATAAACAGTTTTCTTTAGACATATGTCTGTTGTGGCAGTTTTATTTAGAACAGTTTTTGCCGCAGACAGTTTGCTTTAGAGAAGTGTCTGCTGTACAGTTTTCTT